TGTGAGTGTTGGAGGTTTCTGTGGTGCACTGGAACTAGTCGGTCAGCAGCATGTTTGGAGGGTAGCTGCTCTATGTGAGGTAGTGTCCTGGGGAGTGAACAACTTCATGCTTATGGGTTTATTGTAGTTTTAAAACAAACACATCTTTTTCTTTACCATTTATAATTTCTGCAGCTGCCATGTGAAGACCAGATCATCCTTCTGAAAGGCTGCTGTATGGAGATAATGTCCCTCCGAGCAGCAGTTCGCTATGACCCCGAGAGTGAGACTTTAACACTAAATGGGGAGATGGCAGTGACAAGGGGCCAGCTGAAAAATGGGGGTCTTGGCGTAGTGTCTGATGCCATTTTTGACCTGGGCATGTCTCTCTCTTCATTTAACCTGGATGACACCGAGGTTGCCCTTCTTCAGGCTGTTCTGCTTATGTCATCAGGTGAGAACAGAAATATATTGGAACCCCAACCATTTTGAAACTCTTTAGTCTTTGTCACAAGCCTCGTTTTAATAGAAATGAGGTACGTTAGATCTTGTAGTGCTGACTAGAATAATGCGGGAGAAATTCTCTCTCAAAATCCCAATGCAGCTTGGAACTAACTTGGTGAGAACTAGGGAAAAGATTCAGGGTATTCAGAGAGATGGGCATCAAAGTGGCTTTGGTAACGCACCCTGCTCAGTTTAGTACTTAGGGAGGTGGCAGGAAGAACCAGCAGAAAGAAACCAGATCTGATTCTGAGCCAATTTGCCTTGAATGAAAAACGGGTAATTTAACAACAGTTGTCCTTACAGGTTCCCTCTTTCCCTCGGTACTGTCATGCACTGGGTGGGAAGCAAGTGCAGTTCATACATGTTTCCATCAGTCTCATATGCTTAGTTTGACCTGTTTTCTTGTTTTCCTACTCAATGGCACCAGCGCTTGCTAATGGGCATTTGAGAGCTGTGCTGTTTCCCCACACTGGGACCATTTGCAGCTGGTCTCTTGGTGGTATGATACAGAAGCAACACAGACCATTTCTTATGATTTCCAAAGAGTTTCTTCCCTTCTCAGATCGAGTATGTTTTCAAATATGCTTCCACTGACTGTGCCAGCCCAAAGAGGAAATTCCATTCTTGGGCAGTGGCAGATTTGGCAAGGTTTTCTTTTAAGACCACTTTGAAGCTTGAGCACTAAATAACAATACACAGACAGCGATTTACAAACATGAACTGCGTCTGAGACAGAAAGGTTTCCACATTAATCACAACACAGCACTTGACCTTCCCAATCAAAACATATTGATTTCTATTTAGT